TCCTCAGAATCAATCAAAGGCTTCCCTTCCTAGTTTATCTTTATGTTGACTTTGTATAATAACTCTAATTGATCTTGTATTCAATCGCATATCTACTTACTCTAGTTAGCATCATCAAATCTGTATATAAACTTTGTACTGCTCATTGTATTAATCATTTAGTGAATACAAAAACATCTTTTCAATATTATTCTTTACATGGTATCAGAGCTTTAAAGTCCAACGAGTATATCTTCTTGATCCTCCTTTCTTTTTTAACCTCCACAATGAGTACTGAGTCCACACAGACCCCTGAGCCCAGCCCCACCATCACTCCCAGCAGTTCGATGATCAGCACTGACACCTCCAATTCGTTGATTACACTCAACGCCGCTGCCCAAGTACCCGTCAAACTCACGCCACTAAACTATCCGTCATGGCGTGCACAGTTCAATACCCTCCTATTGGGGTATGATCTTCTGGGCTATATAGATAGCACTCATGCTTGCCCTCCCAAACCAGCCACTGCCTCCCCCACATCGCCCCATACTCTTTGGGTGCTCCAAGACCAATTATTGCTTCATGCGATTCTCGCTTCCGTGTCCGAGCAAATCATCTCTCTTATCGCCACCGCCACCACATCCAAGGTTGCTTGGGACAAACTCAACCAACTCTATACCAGCAAGGCTCGATCCAGAGTCATGGGCCTCAAAGAGAGCCTCTCTCTCATGCGACGCGAATCCAAACCTGTTTCTGAGTACCTCCAGCGTGTCAAAGCCATAGCTGATGAACTCGCTCTCATTGATGTCCCTCTCTCTAACAGTCATTGCCAATCAATGCCTCATCTCCAGCAATCTTGCCGTTTCTCTCTCTCTGATGTGTTATGTGTACCTTCCATTCGCAAAGATTTGATCTCTGTTTCTAAATTCAATAAACAAAATAACACTTCCATTGAACTATTTCCTGATTTCTTTCTTGTGAAGGATCTGACCACAGGGGCGGTTCTTCTCCGAGGCCCGAATAAGGATGATGTGTATGAGTGGCCCCGCTCCGTTCGACCAATGGCTATGGTGGGTGTAGCGGCTCCTCAATCTGCGTGGCATCAACGTTTAGGTCATCCTCATCATCGTACCCTTCTACAAATCCTTCAGTCTGCGTCCCTCCCTGTGTCCTCTAAATTTCCCATAAATTCTTCCTGCGTCTCCTGTCAATGTAATAAAAGCCATCAGCTCCCATTTCATGTTTCATCTCTCAAAAGTAGGGGTCCTCTTGACATTCTCTACAGTGATGTTTGGGGTCCCACACCCTGCTCTTCTGTTGATGGTTTTCAGTATTATGTCATTTTTGTTGATCATTTCACAAAATATATTTGGTTATATCCAATTAAATTCAAGTATGATGTGTTTTCTGTTTTCACAAAGTTCAAAGCTCTTGTTGAGAATTATTTCAAAACTAAAATTATCACCCTTTACTCTGATGGAGGCGGTGAATTTGTGAAATTAAAAAATTTTCTTGCCACCCATGGCATTACCCATCTCACCACCCCACCTCACACACCTCAACATAATGGTATGGCAGAACGTTGTCATCATCATGTTGTTGAAACTGGTCTTACCTTACTCCATCATGCTTCCATGCCTTTATCCTATTGGTCCAATGCATTCCAAACAGCTGCCTACCTTATAAATCGCATGCCTACCCCCACTCTCCAAAATATTTCCCCTTATACTGCTCTCTTTGGCCAAAACCTTAATTACCAAAAACTTCGTATTTTCGGCTGTGTGTGTTAGACCATCCCCAATGAGGGCTCTATTTGGGGCTCAACCACCACAAGGCTCCAATATATACAAACTCTCTTTAAAAAGGCATCCCCAATGGTGCAAATTTGGGGCTCTAAAACTAAAAGCCCAACTGGAGTAGTAGCTAAATGTATGACCTTGGTTGAAGCCCCTGAAACCGAGTGGGACCCACCAATTGAAAAAGCTGCAGCCCACTTTTGTGCTATTTCTCACTTGCCTGCGACTGTACAAGGCATACTTGCCTTTAATTTGGTTGTTCATTTGCACGTTGGCCCACATTAACCAAATTTACAAAGCTGTGTCGATAGCTCTATTCCAACGGAAATAAACAGGCAAATTTATGTCCAAATGTTGATTTCCAAATCTTGTCCAAATTTTGATTTTTTTTGGTTGAAATGTTCACACACAAAAAAAACTAACATACCATGAACAAACATTAAAGTAAAATAGTTAACCAAAAAAATAAAAAAAACCACGTAAATCAAATTACATCATAAAAAAAATATAGAGCCTCCCATTGTGGGAGAGATTCCTTTAGAGCCCCAAAGATTCCATCGGAGCTCTAAATGGGGCTCTATAAACTCTTTTTAGAGCCCCAACCATTGGGGATGGCCTTATCCCTGGTTACATCCTTACAACTCTCACAAACTTCTTCCTAGGTCTCATCCTTGTATTTTTCTAGGTTATTCCGTCTCACAAAGTGCGTATCAATGCCTTGATCTGTCTACCAACCGTCTCTTCCTTTCTCGCCACGTCCAATTTGACGAATCCACATTCCCATTCGCTACTCATGATCCTACTGCCTCTCGTGTCTCCTCTTCGAGTCTTTCTACCTGGTCGGCCCTTCTTCCCCCTCTAAGGTCCGTTCCTCTCCGCCACGCCACCACGCCACACCCTCCTTCACCGCCAATCGACTCGCCACCATCACAGGGCCCTTAGCCCTTGCCATCCTTGTCCTCGGAGGAGATCCACTCTCTAGCCCCTTATTTCCCTTTTGGCACCCCTTCCGGCACCCCTTCAGGCATACCTTCCGGCACACCTTTCGGCACCCCTTTAGACACACCTTCCGGCACACTTTCTGGCACTCCTTCAGGCCCCCCTTCCCCTTCTCCAACCCTGCCATTGCCCTCCTTAGACCCGACCCCGGCCACCTCATCATCCGTCCAGCACCTCCCCACATCTCCCGCTCTCCTGACCCACCTTCCCCATCACCACATCCCATTACCGCTCCCAATCATCATCCCATGATTACCCGCTCTAAAAACAACATCTTCAAGCCCAAGCATCTCTACGCCGTAACCAAATATCCCCTTCCCCCATCCTTGGAACCCACATGTGTTTCTCAGGCTACTCGGGACCCTCTTTGGCGTGCTGCAATGCCTGCTGAGTTGACACCGTTAATTCGTAATGGCACATGGGAACTTGTTCCCCCAAATCCTCGTCACAATCTTATTGGGTGCAAATGGGTGTTCCGCATCAAACGTCATCCTGATGGCACTATTGACTGGTATAAGGCCCGCTTGGTAGCTAAAGGGTTTCATCAACCCCCTGGCATTGATTTCTCTAACACTTTTAGTCCTGTTGTGAAACCCACTACCATTCGGGTTGTCCTGCATCTCGCCCTCTCCTCTGGCTGGCCTATACGACAACTGGATGTTAATAATGCATTTCTTCATGGGTCCCTTACTGAAGATGTGTATATGTCTCAGCCCCCTGGCTTCGTTGATCCTAATTTCCCTAGTCATGTGTGCAAACTTCGCAAAGCTTTGTACGGCCTCAAACAAGCACCGCGTGCTTGGTATAATGAGTTGAGCTCGTTCTTGCTTTCTAATGGGTTCCTAAATGCACTCTCTGATGCTTCTCTCTTTATTTACTACCGTGAAGGCGTTGTTATTTATTTTCTTGTATATGTTGATGACCTTGTTGTCACGGGAAATAATGTCTCATTGGTTTCTCAGTTTGTTCACGCTTTTGCTAGAAGGTTCTCTGTCAAGGATCTTGGATCTCTGAATTATTTTCTCGGTGTTGAAGTTGTGCCTACTACCACTGGTCTCTTTTTGTCTCAACACAAATATATTTGTGATCTTTTGAGCAAGGCCCACATGGATGGTGCCAAGAAAGTCAGTAAACCCATGGCCACACCTGATTCTCTCGTGCTTCATGATGGTTCTCCTCCCACCGATGCTACTAAGTATCGCCAACTAGTTGGTGGTCTTCAATATCTCAGTCTCACTCGCCCATACATCTCATTTGCTGTCAACAAGCTATCTCAATTCATGCATCAACCATCTGACATTCATTGGCAAGCTCTGAAGCGTCTCCTTCGTTACCTTAGAGGCACCATCTACCATGGTCTTCTTCTCAAACGCTCTCGCACTACTACCTTGTTTGCTTTTTCCGACACAGATTGGGCCGGCAACCGTGATGATCGAACATCCACCACAGCCTATGTTGTCTATCTTGGCGGTAATCTCATTTCCTGGAGCTCCCGCAAACAACGAGCCGTTGCTCACTCATCCACTGAAGCTGAGTACCGTGCCATTGCTTGCACTGCCGCTGAACTTGCTTGGATCAAATCTCTGCTTCGTGAACTTGGTGTTCACGCATCAACCATCTGACATTCATTGGCAAGCTCTGAAGCGTCTCCTTCGTTACCTTAGAGGCACCATCTACCATGGTCTTCTTCTCAAACGCTCTCGCACTACTACCTTGTTTGCTTTTTCCGACACAGATTGGGCCGGCAACCGTGATGATCGAACATCCACCACAGCCTATGTTGTCTATCTTGGCGGTAATCTCATTTCCTGGAGCTCCTGCAAACAACGAGCCGTTGCTCGTTCATCCACTGAGGCTGAGTACCGCGCCATTGCTTGCACCGCCGCTGAACTTGCTTGGATCAAATCCCTGCTTCGTGAACTTGGTGTTATGCCCTCCTCCACTCCTGCCATTTCTTGTGACAATATTGGTGCCACCTTCTACTGTGCCAATCATGTTCTCCACTCTCGCATGAAACACATCGACATTGGTTTTCAATTTTTTCGTGATTTGGTCACTTGTGGGCTCCTTCAAGTGTCTCATGTTTCCACCACTGATAAACTCGCTGATGCTCTCACAAAGCCTCTGTCTCGCCACCGTTTTCAACTTCTCTGGTCCAAATTGGTGTTGCTGACGGCGCCACCATCTTTTGGGGGCGTATAAGGGAATCACCACAGTCATTGCCAATCAATGCCTCATCTCCAGCAATCTTGCCGCTGCCAAATCTGGCTCTTCCAGTAGCTTCATCGTCAACTCCTCAGAATCAATCAAAGGCTTCCCTTCCTAATTTATCTTTATGTTGACTTTGTATAATAACTCTAATTGATCTTGTATTCAATCACATATCTACTTACTCTAGTTAGCATCATCAAATCTGTATATAAACTTTGTACTGCTCATTGTATTAATCATTCAGTGAATACAAAAACATCTTTTCAATATTATTCTTTACATAAGATATCTGATAACAAGGAATAATTAGTAACTACAATATCAATAACTTACAGTCCAATACGTATACAACCGGGGCAGTTGATCGCTATTTATTGATGGTGAAACCTATGACAACATGACATGTTAATGGATGGAAGAAAAAACCCGGGACGAAATTTAGGATGTTTTAGAAATCAAACATTACCATCCAGCCAGCAACAAGAACATTAAGTTCGTTACGCGGGCCCCTTATGACAAAAACATTGCCAGAGCTAGATTGGTCTTCTGAATCCAAGCTTAGGTTGTATACATAACCAATCCCCCAAACTCCAAAGTATTTGGCACCTTGTGTTTCCTTCAATTTAACGAATACTTGATGTGATCTCACAACAAGCAATATTGAAGGATGTTAGAAGGCCTATGCCAGATATATTACGTGAGACATTATTAATTGTACAAAAAATTAAGAGATCATCCGTAGAGGAGCATAACTTACGTGAATGTTCCAGGGAAGAGGATTCGTGTTTCCGGTGTTGCGAAACATTTGGTGTGCAAGATTTTTGGCCCTTACTAAATCATCCTTTGTTGTTCTGTGTATGGGAACTGTTCCATCAGGGCATGCTTCCCTCTTAGACCATGTTTCGGATATCGGATCAGCCACCGGAGCTGAGTTTTTCATCTGAGCTGGAAATGAAGTTGGTCGCAGCTGCATAAAAAATTGTAATTCATCTTAAATTTTCGGAATTTTGTAAGACAATTAACAAAATGTGTGCAATTTTTTTTTTCTTCTAATAATACTATAGATTAACTAGTAAAGTACCTGGATTTTGTGATTCTTGAGTAAAGGGTTATCGAAGGCAGGCTGCGAGCAACATGTAACACATACAAAAACTAGAAAATAACTATTTTAATTCCAAGAATACCTGACAGGAGGTTTGTTAAGAGTCCGAAGCTGTGTTTCCAGTTCCAAGTCTTCTTCTCTAGTGGTGGACATGGCTGTGTTGCAGCCATAATTTGTTAAACAAAAGCATAGGATGAGCAGCAGTTTTACCATTCTTGAGGTCATGTTAATTAGCAGAACCCACAACTAATAACACCACAAAACTTTACTAGAGAAATATCTACTCCTTCTGATGACTTTGAAGAGAGCTTGCTTCTATTAAAAACCAATTTACAAGATTACAAAGGTAATTAATGTGGACAGGATAGAGTTTTGACCTTAATTATTATAACTTCCTTTCCTTTTCCTTTTTTTCAAAATGGAAAATCCATTAGTAAAATCATAAGTTTTCTTTACAATGATGATCTCTTCACCATTATTATTAGAAGAATATTATATTTTGGAGTATAGCCAGTCGGCTATACTGTTAAGATATTATATTTGCCGAGTATGGCCGAGCGGCTATACGTTTAAGATATTATATTTACCGAGTATCGCCGCCCGGCTATACTTTTAAGATATTATATTTTTGGGGTATAGCCGCGCGGCTATATGTTTAAGACAGTTAAAATATTATATTTTGAAGTATAGCCAGTCGGCTATACCGTTAAGATATTATATTTACCGATTATAGCCGCGCGGCTATACGCTTAAAATTTTATATTTTGCAGCGAGCCTCCTGTACATAATTTATCATTGATATTAAAATTTTAAAACAGGGCTAGAGGAGAAAATCAATCTACTAATCACTGCCGCAGAAGCCAATATATCAAGAAAGTTTGATATAAGGCTAATAACCAAACAGATAATCATGAAGACTTGGTCAGCATCTCAATATTATGAAGATCTGAGGAGTGTTGGTCTTCAGGATGTGCTGAAGCTGGACCATAATACACATGTTCTAACTACAACTACTTTTACTTTTCATAAAATTAAATTTCGTTGGCGAAAATCAATGAAAATGGTAAAAATTACTAAGGCATATCATGTGGCGAAAGAGAAAAAGAACAAGAGTTCAGTTTTAAGTCTCTCTCGCAACATGCTAGTAGCTTAAGTGATTAAGAGTATATACAACTCAAAAAAATCAAACTTAAACTTTTGATTGGATAACATAGGGGAATTTTATATGTCAAGGTATATACTACCAGGCCCTCCAAAACCAAATCTATAACCCCAAAGGGCGATCTTAGAATCTTTATCATTTTGTAGACGTACTTTTTGCCCTTGTTAAATATTAATTTGGCTGATAGTACTAAACATCTGATGTGAAAGACTTTTTTCCCTTGTTAAATATTCCTCTGTGGTTCTATGGATAGGAACTGTTCCATTAGGGTATCCTGCCTGCCTAAACCCTGCCTGCAATGGTTTATTCACAAGGGCTGATTTTTTCGTCTGGGTAGCAGGAATTGAAGTTGGTCTTAGCTACTAATGTGATAAATACTATCAATCATGGTGAAAATAAGAACAACAGCAAAAAATGAAAATAATCAACAGGTACTGATTATTTAGTGTACCTGAATTTTGTGATCGAGGGCAGGCTGATGATTGATGTCTACGCAATCTATGATATCACTGTCGAGCTTAATTCAACATAAAAAGGGGAAAAAATCAAATTTACAGATCGATAATATATCATTGTGACTCATATCAGAAGTATAAAAATTGTAACAAATGCAATCTACTAGCTAGCTCTAGATGGTAACTATTTTCATAAGGGTAAAGTAAAAATTGCTTTTGAGAAAATTCCAGTCAAATACAAGATTAAGTGGGTATATAATCAAGAATAGTACCTGAATGGTTTTGACAAGAGTTTTGTTAAGACTCTGAAGTTCTCTTTCTATAATTCCAAGTCCTCTTCTGTTGGAGCAGACATGGCCATGACTTTTCTGCAGCCATGGCCATGACTTTTCTGCAGCCATAATTTCTTAAACGAAAACATAGCATCACCAAAAGTGTCACCATTCTTGAAGTCATCCTGTTAACAAAAGGTCCACAATTTGTAACAGCACAATCTACCAGTGATTTTGAACAAAAGCCTTGCCTAGCTTTTTGAAGTTCATATATTGCTTGATGGGAGCAGAGAGAGCCAGCAGGATGTCTGCTGCATGTATGCTTCTTCAGCCAAGTTTAAGCTCTGCACATCCTCATAAAAGTCAAGCTTTCTTTCGTGGATAAGAAAAGGTTGTTACCTTATTAATTTTCCTTCATAGTCAAATGAATTAAACTGGAACTTAAAGTGGAAGAAGGAATGTGCGAAGTGATAGGTCGAAAATCGTTGGAGTTGTTGGAAGCCCAAGATTGCAAGACCTCATCAGCGACTACAGAGCAGTCTCAGTTTCAGAGAAACCTAATTGAAACGTACAAGTATGTGGTGGATATGCATTCCTCTTAAGCGTATGGCCATGGATTTCGAGAGGCTAAATGGGCGCAGTTGAAAAATATAAACTTCACAAAACAATCAATCATATGTTAACCTATAAAAAACTTCCAGAATAATGATGGCTTTCTTGTATAAATATACGCATTAATAAAGTTATGGGAAGAGGGTTTTGATTATTCATCAAAATGAAAATATCTTTCTTGCTTGCGTTGAAAGAGAGAGACACTACGTACGTTTACTCCCACATCGACAATATGGAGAATAACATAGCGCTTTATATTGCTTGAGTGCGGCTGAGAGGTCACGACCTTACTTGGACAGGATCTGTTCTATAGTAATCGTACCTCTGTATCCTTGATTTCTAAGGAGACAAGAATCCAAACTTGGTGGATGAATCATGACCGTGTGATCAGAGCGTGATTAACAATCGGATGGTCCTTGTGATCATCATGACCGTAGAGGATCGTTCTCAGTCAGTCTTCTCTGTCTGGGGTGGTCACACGGTTGTCTGACAAGTTTTCCCCCTTTTTTTTATTTCTCTTTTTTCTAAATTAAATTATTTGCTCAAAATCTGGCCAAACACAAATTATTTGACCATGAAGATCTTTAAATCAATCACTGTTGCTTGCTTCTGTAATCTTTGATGGTTAAATATCGAGGATCATCATTTTCAGTTTTCAGTTGTCTTTGAACACAAATTCACAGTTCTTGCTCTTCGAATATCACAGCTACATGCTCCCAAATCCTCTACATTCCATAACCACTACCACCTTCTTTTTAATTTCTTCTAGTGCAACCTTCACTTCTTCCTCAATGACAAACAGAAGAAAAGAGAGACCAAAGCGACAAAAGTCCCATTTTCAGTCCCACATCGATATGTAACGAAAAACTGAAGCGCTTCATATACCCAGTTGACGGCTGAGATGGATCTTGACCAAAAAGAGGATCGTTCTCCTCTCTTTTTAATTCCTTCCATTTTTGATTATTTGATACATTAATACTAAAATTAATGAATAATTTTACTTCATTTATTAATATGCTATTTGCCGAAAAGAGTGATAATATTCCGTATACGCTTATGTTACTTACCTCAATCTTGACCACATATTCAAGCAGAATATATTTTTATGTTGCATGACTCAATCTAATACTTATGTTTGTTGCGTATATGTCTTACTTAGTTTTGTTTTTATTTAATTTTTGAGTTATAGATAGCTTCAATAGTCTTTTAAATTCAAGGTATTTATTCAGCCCTTGAGGAAACCTTAGTCCCTTCTCTCTCAGAAAAAACACTCCCATAGCCGTTTTAACTTTGAGGGGAGATAAAGTCACTGTTTTTCCTTCCCTCTTCCCTCTTCTCTTCCTCCCTTCTCCTCCTCCCCCATTCTCGAAGACAGAATGCTTCCCTTATTTGTCTTCATTTTATAATGATTTTCCTCCAACCATCGTAAGTGGCGTCACGACGTCGGATCTCTACCACCATTCTTTTTGCAGTTTCTTTCAGTTTGGAATAAGTCGTAGAGACTCTTTGGGCTTGTTTGTTACATTGTGCAAGCTTGGATTGGCTTGGCTAAAGTTTTATCCCATGTTTGTTTCACCCGGTTCTAATTTTAAGTGGGATTAACTAATACTGGGCCCACCAAAAACACCTTCTTAGGTGCTCTTAGCGAAACCCGTCTAGAGAGGAGGGAATAACAGTCCTGACCCAAGCAACAAGCAACCACACCCAATCGCCCCACAACCAATGACCACCAAGCGGTAGCCACAACCACAATCCCCAACCACCAGCCACGACCACCCGCCACGACCACCCGCCACGACCACCAGCCACGGCCACCCAAGAAGGAGAAGACAAAATAGAAGAGGAAGAGGAGAGAACAAAAAATTTCCAAAAAACAAAACAAAGAAGAGGAAAGAAAATGGAGAAGAAGAGATGAGAGAAATTTTTCGCAAAAAACAGAGAAGAAGAAAGAAAATGGAGAAGAAAAGGAAAGAAAATGGAGAAGAAGAGGAGAGAAAATTTTAGAGAAAAAGAAAAGAAAAGTAGACATAAGAAGAGGAGAGAAAATGGAGAAGAAGAAGATGAGAGAGATGTAGAGGGGAAGAAGAAGAAAGAGATGCAGAAAGGTTCATTCCAAAAAGAAAAAAAGAGATGCAAAGAGGAAAAAAGAGATGGAGAGAGAAGAAAAGTAAAAAAAAATATAAAAAAATCTCACTTAAAAAAAAAAAAAAGTCATAGTCCAATAAAACATACACCAAATGTTGTACAAGTGTTATCCAGCTTATGCCAAGCCAAGCCAATCCATGACAGTACCAATATTTAATCCAGTCCATGACAGTTTCCCGTACCAAACGACCCCTTTGGGTTCTCTGTGTAGCTTTCACATCTCCTTTTGTAAGAGATTTTCACCTCTCCTTTGTGAGAGATTTTCATATCTCATTTGTGAAAGTTTTATTTGTATTGTTATGACTTGATTTTTTCAAGCTTTATATCTTTTTGATTATTCTGAGTTTGCAATATTAGTTGAGATACCTTTACTAGAGTTTCTTCGATTATGCATGATCGTCAGTGGAGACACACCATATTGTCTTAATTTTGATGTTAAATTGCTCCGTTATTATAATAGCCCTTTGTGGCTAGTTTGTATTGGTCATTTGTGACTAATGGCTTTTTTGGCTGAAATATGAATGCAATCACATAATCTTTTTGAAAAAAAAATCAGGGTATTTATTGTTAACTTCTTACTATTTCTTTGTATATTAAGGTATTGGAGGAGAATTGGAGGCAAAAGATAAACAAGGCATGTGTCAAACTTGGAGTATAGGATCGCTTTGATTCATCGAAACAAGTATCACGCTGATTACATTTTTGCCAAAAAAAAGGGTTCCAAATAATGACAACCTTACAATATAACTTGTAAAAATCAATAAAGTTATTATAACAATTTTTTTATTGTTCATCGATAAATCTTTTCTTGCTCACTTTTTCAAATAAAAGCCACGTTGCAATCTCCGACCCCCAACTATTAAAAAATTGAACTGAAGACCAGAGAGACCAAAGCGACAAGAGTCCAATTATTAGTCCCACATCGACGTTTTACGAAAAACCGAAGCGCTTCATATATCTAGTTGACGGTTGAGAGGAAGCGACCTTACTTGGACAGGATCTGTTCTATAGTAATCGTACCTCTGTATCCTTGATTTCTAAGGAGACAGGAATCCCAACCTGGTGGATGAATCATGACCGTGTGATCAGAGCGTGATTAACATTCCGATGGTACTTGTGATCATCATGACCAAGGAATCCCAACCATGAATCATGACCGTGTGATCAGAGCGTGATTAACATTCCGATGGTACTTGTGATCATCATGACCAAGGAATCCCAACCTGGTGGATGAATCATGACCGTGTGATCAGAGCGTGATTAACATTCCGATGGTACTTGTGATCATCATGACCGTAGAGGATCGTTCTCAGTCAGTTTCTCTGTCTGGGGTGGTCACACGGTTGTCTGACAGGCTCCCCCTTTTTTTTTCAATTTCCTTTTCATTTTGTTTATTTGATAGATTAACGCCTCTGAAGCTTGCTGTTTGGGTCGGATGTGTTCTAACCTTTTTTTTTTTTTTTTTTTCAAAAGTCTCCTTTTTTTTTTTATACATATTATAGCCTTTTAGTACAAAGTATATACTTGTTAATAATAAATTATTCCATGAATACAATTTTACTCAAGCTTAATGTTTCATAATCTAAATTTTGAAAGGATTTATATGTTTTGAATTTATTATAGTAGAGTTTTCTTTGTCCAATAAACAAAATTCATATTGGAAGAAGGGAAGTTGAACACCGGATGCAGGATTGTGTTGGTTTAACTAAATGTTGATGGATGCAGAAAAGAGTTGTGGTGAGATTGTAATGGTGAAAGGATGAGAAGAAATTTTTGTGTGAGTGTCCTTCAATGTAAAGCAAGGGATGGGGGTTTGGGGAATTGCACACTAAAGAAGGTTTGCACATCAAATGACCCATTAATGTAATGATTTAGAGCAATTGCTTCTCGAGGATAGGTCCTGAGTTCGAGTCCTAGCATCAATGTAATGTGTGTGAGTCTAACATATTATCGTCCCTCTTTCCAAAAAAGGTTTGCACAAATACGACCAAAGATTTTTTTTATTATAACAATTTATCACCCATATTTCATTTTCAGTCGAATTTCACTGTTCATCATGTGTCGTACAAGTGGGCCCTTTTTCAAGTGTACTTTGGCAACTTAAGAATAGGTCCACACGCAAAGGACTCACTAGTGTAGTGGTTTGGAGCAATTGCTCCTTCATGAAAGATTAGCATCCGTATAATGTGTTTGAGTTTAATATGATATTGCCTCTTTCAATAGGAAAGGTCTTCCACAAAAATAAAAATAAAAAAAGGAATAGGTCCACATATGCATAATGTGATGTGTGTCGGCGAAAATTGACAGTGGTGGTGCATTCACATTAAAAGAAACTTTGCATGGTAAGTTGCCAAAAACTTTAATTTGGATGGTATATATGCACAAACGTCAATGTGATGTTTGTATAATTTTTCCACAAAAAATTTGGTAGCAAAAAAACTATCTTAAGAAAATGGGCCAAAATAAAAATCAATTTTAAATGTACAAAAAAAAAAATGTTTTTAAAAAATTCCTTAGAGGTACTTCTTTTCCTCTCACCAGTATCACTTTGAGAAAAATGAAACATTTTCTGGAAAAAAAAAGGGAAATTTTTTTTTAAATTTTGTTTTGGATAAACCAACATTTTCTTGATAGAACAATGTCTATATATTATTTGTAGTGAAAGCACACGCATTTTTGGCAAAAAATAAAAAAAGGAAAGAAAGAAAGAAAAAGATGCACATTAAACATAACTGATAGAGTTATAGGGATGAACGCCTTACTTAACGACGTCAATTCATGAATGGGCATCATGGACACCAACAGTTTATAAACATAACGGCTATTATATAAACCTTTCTGAATTTTGAAAATTCAAAATTGAAAGTGAGAAAAAGAATATAAAAGTAGCAGAAACCAAACCCATTCTAAAAGGTGTGAGAGCATTTCGTCGATCCTGAATCTTCAGTCTCCAAAATTCTTCTCCAGAGAAAAGATTCGAGCAGTTGACTTTCCTTCTTTGCACTTTCATCGTTTTATTAGAGGTTTGCTTCTTACCCTTTCTCAGTTTTTTTCTTTTTTTCAATGTTTTCAAATTCGTTCTTCCCTGTGTTTTTTTGGTGTTGCATAGCTCATATGATGTTGTGCTAGATCTTTGTATTAAGAATGTAAATAAAAATCCTGAGTTTAAGAGCTTTGATTTTCAGTAATTCATATTTAAAACTGTAGAGTTCTTGGGAAGTTGAACTACTAAATTTTCAGAGAAGTTAATTAGAAATTTCAGAATTGCTTTGTTTTTTATGCAAGATATTTTCTCAGCAACCAAACAGTTGTAAAGAATCTCTTATTTCTACATAGTTTTTAAGCAACTGAAGGTTTCTTTCAGGTGGGTATTTGGTTATTGCCTCAAAGATGAATGATCTAATGACTAAGTCATTCCTCAGTTACGTGGACCTCAAGAAACAGGCCACGAAAGACCTTGAATCGGAACCCGACCTCGAAATGGGCAAACTTGGCCCTGCTGATGAACAGAACCTCACCCAATTTTTCGAACAAGTGACCGCAATCAAGGCTGATATGGAAGAGATCACAAACCTTCTTCTTGATCTTCAGGACCTGAATGAAGAAACCAAGTCTACTCACAGTGCTAAAGTTCTTAGAGGGCTAAGAGATAGAATTAATGCTGACATGGTAGCTATTCTGAGGAAAGCAAAAGGCATCAAAGCAAGATTGGAGTCGCTTGACCACTCTAATATGGCTAATCGAAATGTATCAGTGGCGTACAAGGAAGGTAGCCCTGTTGATCGAATGAGGATTTCGGTGACTAATGGTTTGAGAGCTAAGCTGAGAGATATGACGAATGATTTTCAGTCCTTGAGGGAACAGATTGTTAAAGAGCACAAAGAAGGTCTCAAGAGGAGGTATTATAATGCCACAGGAGAGGAAGCAAGTGAGGAAGTGATTGATAAGATGATTTTGGAAAGTGGGCAGGTAAAAGTTTTTGAGGGGAAGGTTGAGCTGGCAATGGAGAATCAGCAGAGGCATGAGGCCTTGAAGGACTTGCAGAGAAGCTTGACAGAACTCCATCAAGTTTTCCTGGATATGGCAATGATGGTTGAAAAGCAAGGGGAACAAATGGATGATATTGAACAGAACGTGGCTGATGCTGGAGCTTACATTCATGATGGAACCAATGCTCTTTTTTCTGCTAAGCAGATGAAGCAGAGAAGAGGAAGATGGGTTTGTTGGATTGGGGCTTTGGTGTTGCTTGTGTTGCTGGTATGCCTGATTTCCATCTTAGCTTCTTGAAATCGTAGAGATCAAAGTTCATCCTGAATGTGGCTGTTATTGTTGTGCTGTAGTGGAGTTTTGGTCTGTGAATAATATACTGGAGTTGACTACACTGGCTGGCGGATTCAATGGTTTCTTTCATTGCATTTGTCATTTAGAATGCACGGTTTTATGACTTTCTTGTTTTAGGCTTAGCAATATGTTTGATGTATCTCCTCATCTTTCCACATCTTTTTCTTCCTGTAATTTGGATTTTTTTGGAACAGAGATTCTCTTCTTGATTGTTTTGAAGCTTGATATGCATGATTTTGGGCCTACATGTGATCTGAAACATATTGCTCTTTTGTTATTGGTGCTTCTGCTCGGTAGATTTATGCATGTTGGTGACTCATCGACTGAAGCTGATAGTTTATTTCTATTTTTCATGTTGCATCTACAAATATGCTAGGAAGGGAGCTTTGGTCTAGGTCCAAGGTTTAGAGAGCTTAAAGGAGCCTTATATCTCGCAATATGGAGGGTTTATAACCATTTCAATTTTTTATTTTTTATTTCCAAATATAACCATTTCAATTTTAGATTTAGTTAATTATATTTTTTGTGCTAAAGTATAGAGAAACAAGAGGAAGAATGGAAGTGAGAATGAAAGTGGAGATGGCATTTAGAGGGAAGATGAGAGGGGAGGATGGGAGGGGAGGATGGGAGGGAGGAGTAACAAAAGTGACAACAAAAACTAAAAACTGAAATCTGTTTGAAATTGTTTTCACTTTCAAGTTTTTGTCACTTTTGTAACTCCTCCCTCCCATCCTCCCCTCTCATCCTCTCTCTCAATCTCACACTCACACTCACTCCCATTCTCACTATTATTTTCCTCTATACTCTAGGATACAAAATGAAAACTAAAAACTAAAATTGAAATGATTATCAAATGGGCCCTTAGTTAGCCACTTTGAATTAAAATGTGGCCTTCTGTTTGGTTATGTTGCTGTGTTTACCTGGATTATCAGCCCTGAACCTTATGGCACCCCAACCACCAGTGGGAACTCCAACTGTGTTTCTCTCAAGGGGATCCACCAAGTTATACTTTGCTGGGTCCTTTTTGGGGTCGAAGTTCCCAAGTCCGGTCCCAACAACAATTAAATTGTAACCATGAAGGTGGAAGGGATGTGATTCCACTGTGAGAAGATTGGTGTCTTGTAGCACCAACTCAACTGTTGAATTGAAGGCAAGTTTGCTAAGCCGGGTGCCTAGCTTAGTGCCAAGGTTGGCATTGAGTGGTGCACCCCTGTAATTGAAAGGTGTGGAGGGCAGTCTGGGAAATCTGCGGTGAATACTCCCATGGGGCATCACAAATGTGACTGTTTAAAGAAGCAGTGAGCCGTTTTCCATTGAGGCAAGTCGTGCATTGGTTAATTCCCAACCCGATCGTGTAAAAGAGATGTCGATCAACGTTAAGAGGTACACTGGCCGGGAACTGTGCTGTGTTTAGACTTCTTAGCTTGGCATTGAAGCTCAATGCGAAAGCTGTGTTATTGAGTGCAGGAAGTTGGGGAAGAACTGGCTGCACAGTATTTGGGATGCCTTTGTACTGCAGTATTCCAGTGGTAGTTTTGTTGTCAATGGAAACCGGTGCATCCATGAATGGCCTAGCCGCCATGAAATATCTTCCGAGCGCTCGGTTGGCTTGAACGAGAACATTCGTGGTCTGGCCTGGTGCTATTAGTATTGCTTGAGATGTGAATGGTTTGGTGTAGACTGCATCAATTTCTACCACTGTCAAGTTGTGACCAGCAATGGCAAAGAATAGCTCATCATTGAGTGCAGCATTGATGATTCGTAGCAGGTACGTCTTTCCCTGTTCAGCCTCCAATGCATAGGTATCTGAGATAGCAAAAACGAGAAAGGATGAGAATGCAAAGTCTCATTTTTCATGTCCAAATGGCAGTGCCATAAAACAAAAGTGGTCTCAGAAGTGTCATAGATGGGACAAGTTCTTGCATACAATGAGTACTTGGAAGCTTTTAACTTAAACGTGAACTAGTTTGTTACTGTTCTATTCTATACCCTCATTTGAACATAGACAATAAGCTATTTTGGGAGTGCTCGGATACACAATTGAAATCCACTATAAAAGATGGCTACCAAATACCAACTAGCTTCTTCCTTTTTGTGTGTGTGTGTGTGGCTAATATAGGGGCAAAGCCTAAACCAAAGAGACTATACAGAAACATACCAACTAGCTTTAGCTATAGTTGTACTTTTCTTCCTAATATTGAAAGATGTCCCAAGTTTGAATCCTCCCTCACCGATTGAAATAATAGATAAATAAACGATGGCTCCCACATAATCTAGTGAAAGATGGACCAAACAAGCAAAAGAGTTTCTCCTAGAAAAGTACCACTCGACGGATGTAAAACTTTCATTTATCTATTTAAAATTTGGCTACCCTTAAAATTTTAAAGGCCTTGATACTTATAGTAAGCAAAACAAGAAGACGACACTTCTAAGTTTTGGACCAATTGGTTATTCAATATCTAGTTGTTAACTTGTTATACTGCTATGCCCAAATTCTCAAAAATTTCATGGTGCACCCAAAAAGTTGATTAGTACACCCTACTCTTCTTGGATGGATTTTGTTTTAGTACAAGTGATAGTCTAAATAACAGGAGAGAGAAGTTTCTCTTTCACACACTACACAGTGCCATGGGGGTTCGAACATGAGATCACTTGTCTGCAAATCGACGCCATTTTCCATTGGACTAGTACTCGTTGGCTTTCTTGTCAATTTTATCCCTAAACCCTAAGTTTCAATTTTGTCTATTTTATCCTTGTAGTTTTCAATTTGAAGCAATACAAGGATACATTTCAACTTCTGTCAAAATTTCTCCCAATTCCGTTAAGCTTTGACCACGTGTCCCTCACGTAGAGCGGGTATTTTGGTCCACTTGAGGCAAATTCATCCTAGTTTACCCAAATATTAACTCGGAGATGTAAATTTTTCTGAGACGCAGAACCCTAAAATTGTGCCTAAAGTGAATTGGAAAAGCTTCAACTTGTGTTTTACTATTACATCATTACATGGGCTCGAGTGAACTGAAATACCCCTCCACGTGAGGAGCACGTGGTCAAAGCTTAATGAAATTTGGAGGAATTTGAGAGAAATTAAAATGTGTCCTTGAATTGCTCAAAATTGAAACTACAGAGATCAAAGTGGTAAAATCAATAAACTACATGGACCAAAAATAAACTTTTGCTTTCTTTTATTTGATGAAATGCTGTTTTAAGTCACTTAGCGGGCCATTACAAACAGACACCAGGTGGCTATTTGAAGCTCAATTTTGATTTTTTTATGTTTTATTTCCTGGTTTTACAAAACAATTCATTATAAACCCCAGGACCAGAAAAAAAAAACATAAAAAATAAGAGTGCGCTCTTCCACCATCCGCGGAAGAAATGTCAGTTTATGAGGAAAATGCGAATATCCAAGACCACCATCCTCGGTTGCTACTATGGAGTACTATGTATGCCTTTATAAAACAAGATTTAGTGTTTTAGAGTTTATTAGAAATAAAATCTAACAAATATTTGTTGTGTTGCTAGACTCTCAGTCTAGATCATGGTTAGATGAAATCTTAATCTAATAGGCAACATAAATGTCAAATATCTGAAATTGGATTGTTACCCTTGTTTGAATTTCAAGGGGTACTTCTCTTCCATATGTCGGAATA